CGAGCTCCCCGGCCCCCGAGCTGCCCACCGTGAGCGGGCTGCGGGTGAGTGCGGGCGGCGGCGGGGCCGGGCGGCGGCGCTCCCCCCTCCACCCCCCCGGCGGGCCGGCCCGGGCGACAGCGGGCCCGGTTCTCCCCAACCGCTGCAGAAAATGGGCGTGAACTTCACGGTGAGCAACAAGGACACGGTGAAGAGCAGCGATGTCCTCTTCCTGGCCGTGAAGCCCCCCATCATCCCCTTCATCCTGGAGGAGGTGGGCCCCGACATCGAGGCCCGCCACATCGTGGTCTCCTGCGCGGCCGGCGTCACCATCAGCTCCATCGAGAAGGTGAGGGGTGGCCGGGGCCTGCAGCCTCGCCACCGCGGGCACCCGGGGCCCGGGAGGCCTCTGCCGCGGGGCAGGAGGGAGCGGGAGCTGCCTGGAGCCCGTCCGCTCCTCCAGCCCCCGGAGCTGGGGCGAGGGGCAGGCGTTGCTGGGGCTCCCCAGGGCTACGTTCGTGCTGCAGCCAGCTGGGTGCTCTGGGTCCCCTTCGCCTGTCCTCGTCAGAAAAAGCTGTGAGTCTTTATGCCAGCTCTGTTATTACATGAGGTGCTATCAGATCTTTTTTCTCTCAACAGAGGTGGGTCATCTCCCCTGAATTCCTGCAGACTTTGTGCTAAGTGTCTGCGGGAGCTGTTTTGGAGACTTGTGAGTTGGTGTGGGAAGGAGGCCTTCAGGGTGTTGTTCCCAATAGCGGCTTTGCTCAGCCTCCTGTTCGCTGGTGCTGCTAAAGACTTCACATTTCAGTTTTGGCCGCTTTGGCTCAAAGCAGGGAATTCGGAATACAGGAGTCTCTCTTTTCCCTCTGCTTGTGTTTTTCTTGCCCCTGGGGAGTCCCTTCCTAGACAGCCTGTTTGGTGTGCCAAATATGCACTAAAGCTCATTTTTCTCTCTTCCTTCTTTCTTTCTGTCTTTCTTTTTTTCTGTCTCAATAATTTTCTGCCCTAAGAAACTCTCTGCCTTCTGCCCCACACCAAAAGTGATCAGGTGCATGACCAACACCCCTGTGATTGTCCGGGAAGGTGCTACAGTCTATGCCACTGGGACTCATGCGGATGTGGAGGATGGGAAGCTCTTGGAACAACTGATGGCCAGCGTAGGCTTCTGCACGGAGGTGGAAGAGGACCTGATAGATGCTGTAACAGGGCTCAGTGGCAGTGGCCCTGCGTATGTATGTGCTGCTTCCTCAACTTGTGACAGCCCTGGGGAGAGCAGTAGGCTTTGCACGCGGTGAAAGTCTGTGCAACTTCAGTTTGTCATTCCTTGTTTTGCTCATCACTCGCGTTCGCGATGGGACATGTAATCCAGGTGTCCAGTTTATAACCAGTTTGGGTCAACAACAAAAGTCCGTTACCAGTTGGATGAGTCTGAAGTCCATAGCCAGCGTGCAGCGTCCACGTGTCCATGTTGCAAAACGTGGGCCTGTAGTTAGTATGACCCAGAAGCTGAATTTCTCCCATTCCCCCCACTCCTGAGCTGGAACTAGTGGGAGGGAAGCCTGGCATGGCACCCACGCGGTAAAGGGGGAGGCTTTTGTCGAGTCTGTAAGTGATAGGAGTCACGGTGTGATCCTGGAGCCCTGGGTTCTCTCCTCCTTTTGAATATCAGTCTTGGAGCAGAGACTTTCAGTGACCTTCTTCCTCTGTCTGGTCTCAGGCGTTCACCGCTCTGGATGCTCTGGCGGATGGGGGAGTGAAAATGGGACTTCCCCGCAGGCTGGCTGTTCGACTTGGAGCACAGGCTTTGCTGGTCAGTATTTCCTCCTCCAGAACACATTTGAGGCTGTGCCTGCTCTGTGCAGAGTATTCTGCACATCACGGTTTGAAAACGATCTCAGTCCTCTTACTGAATCTACTTAAAAAACGCGTTTGGTTTGACTACACACAGGTTCCCGGTGAGGGGACGTAGGAAGTGGCCGCAGCAATCTGCTGGCGCTGGTGGTGGTATGGGAGCTGAGGCCTGGGGAACTGTGACTCCTCTGCAGGCTTTTTCAGCTCTGAAAAGTGTTTTGGCAGCCTGCTAATGGCTCTCAGGCAGGAGCCCACTTTTCCCCACTGTGAGTGTTAGGTGCTGCTCTGTGCGGTGGAGAACAGGAGTATTTGACAGTCGGTTCCTCTGCCAGTTTTTTCTCTTCCTCACTACAGGGTGCTGCCAAAATGCTGTTAGAATCTGAGCAGCATCCCGGTCAGCTGAAGGACAACGTCTGCTCGCCCGGGGGAGCCACCATCCATGCCCTGCACTTCCTGGAGAGCGGTGGCTTTCGCTCACTCCTGATCAATGCTGTGGAGGCTTCCTGCATCCGGACAAGGTGGGCATCTAGGAAGTCCTGAAGAGCCTGCAAAACTTGCCCCCCACACTCCCTGTCTCTTCCTTTTGCTATGTCTTTCTCTCCCGCTGCCCCATTGCAGGGAGCTGCAGCATCTGGCAGACCAAGAGAAGATCTCCCCAGCAGCCATAAAGAAGACTTTGCTGGATAAGGTGAAGCTGGAGTCTCCTTCTCTGTCCGTGGCATCTGCCAGCAAAGTCAGTCTGTTCACCAACAAGAGCCCCAGCAGCAAGAAGAACTGAGCAGATGGCTGCAGTCTGGCTGTGCTGAACATCAGTCTCCTCCGCACCCTTTCTTTTTTGTCTAAGGAAAAACGCTCGCTCTGAATGTCGGTGTCCCCCATACCTGGCTCTTTGCTTGCAGCAGCTGTGGGGCAGTGCAACGCCGTAGAAGAGGGTCTTTAACCTGTAGTGGGGTTGGTGCCAACTGTCCCTGTTCTCTGTTGGGCAGGGGTGATGCCATCATCAGAGCTTCATCGAGGGCATCGTTTGCCCAGAAGCCTTGGATACTGCTAGGACTCAGGCAACGTTTGTGGTGTCCCATGCAGAAATGGTTTCTAATAGGATTTTTAAGCAGTTTCAGAATGCCTTTTGGCCTCAAAGGTTTGAACCAGGCCTGGATCCCTCTTGCCCCATCTTGCATCTGCTGTCAGAGCTTGTGTCTTGTCACTGTCTTTATTAGCCAGAGCAGATGCTGCCACACAAACGCAGTGCTGCACGCTACATTAGAGGCCGGGCCCTAAAGCACCTCTGAGAAGGGACCGAAGTGCCTCTGCCCCATCTGTCTGCCTTGACTTTGAGAGACAGATGGTGTGAGCCTCTGGACCACACTCTCTTTCTCTCTTTGCCAGCCTCCCCTTCTCTCTGCTCTGCTGGTTTGGGCAACCAGTGAAGTGCTCTCACTGTCCCTGCTTTGCTGCCAGCCTGGCTGGGGTGGCTGGGCAGGTGAAGGAGTAGGGAGTGCTCCCTTTTCCCTCTGACACCTCTTCGTGCTCTCCATGGGCAGAATGTGCTCCCACATACCACTGATTCAGCGTCACTGTGCTCCCTGATGCTCTCCTTGCTCTTTGCACTGCTCCTGGGGCAGCCAGGAGCAGAGCTCAACTCAAGGACAGCCTCCTCTGGAGAAAGCCGTCTCCTGTACCATTCCCTTAGACTCAAGCAGGGTTTTGTACCCAGGTGCTGGGCTACTGCGTGGCAGCAGGACTCTTCCTCGGCACCTTTCCTTGCATCAGGGTGTGCCTCCTTCTTGGACTGCAGGGTCGATGCCTGTTGACAGCCTGCTCTGCTTCAGCTTGTGCAATCCAGCTGTGTTGTGGTGACTGGTTGTCCCTTCCAGACAGCATTTCTCTGAGCAGAGCCCCTGGGCTGGTGAAATCCAGCCCAGCAGCCCTCAGTGTCACCTTATGTTGGCACAGTTATGTCTCTCTGCTATTTTTTAGGCCATTTATTTTTCCTGTTTCCTTGAAGGTGTTGCACCGCGCTTCCCCTTTGAAGGGGAAAACACCTAGAAGAAAGTTGGGGGCTGCTTCATGCAGTTGCATTCCTAGTTCTTTAGAGTACAAGACTAAAGGGAAACACGGAGTCACCTGGTCTGGCTTGTGGCTCCGATCTCACCTAGCTTGTCCTGTGTGAGGCCCAGGAGGAAAGTCAGTCCCTGCTTGACACAAAAGAGATTCAGGGAGGACTTGAGAATGCCTGATTCCAGTCCAACAACGAGGACTTGCTTGGTGAAACACATCCAGATGACTGCTTTTGCAGAGAAGGAAGACCCTTACTGTTCTGGTCTGGAGAACTTCCCAAGTCCAACTCAAATTTATGAGCAAGAAACAGCAGTGAAGTGTGGGGTCTAGGAGCAGTGACCCCTTCTTCCCTCCAGTATGTGTGAGGGAAGGAATCTGGCCAGGGCTGTGGGAGCAGCAAGGAGGGAGGGTGGCCCTGCTCGACGTGGTGTGGCCAGGCCTGAGCAGGCACTGCGCTGTGTCGAGGGCGACGCAGCACCTCTCTTCCCTGGGCCTGGGGAAAGGGATGAATGAGGGTTGTAGACTTAAAGGGCAGAAAGGACCAATGCTCTGATCAGACAGAAGGTAGCTTACAGCCTGTAAGAACAGCAGCAAAGAGAAGATGGCCTCTGCTGCTTTCTGTGATATCTTTATAGCCAACGCCCCTGTGTGGCTTCCTTGCCTCTCTACTTTTCTCCCGGAGCCCGAGTCCTGTCCCAAGCCAGAAAACTGCACAAAGCGTGCAAGCTGCCCCTGCCACTTTTACGGGGCTGCAGTGGGAGCAACAGGCTGGAGGGGATGGAATGGATTTGGGTGGATAACTGTCGTGCTGTATTCTTCCTTGGGGTACCCTGGGGGAGTGCTGGTAAAAGGAGGACATTTAAGATGGGTTCATTGTCTCCTGAGGAATCCTGGACATGGAGGTGATGCAGGAAGAGCATTTCGGTATCGATGCAGAGGCTGCTAAAGGTGCTGGTAATGTTAAAGCTTTTTTAGTGTTAGGCTTTCAGCTGGTAGCAGGGTGTTACCCTATAGGCATGACAGATGGTTACTCCTCTTCCCTCTCTACATAATAAACTGCTTCTCTGTCAGAGAGCTGTGGCTAATGCCAGCTGTTTGGACCGGGTAGATCTCTTGCCTCTGGCAGTGGCCATTGGGTCCTTGCTGCCCGCAGTGAGTGTGCTCAAGGTGTGCTGCAAACCTGTCTTTGAGGCCGGTTTGTCGGGGTATGGGGCTGGGAAGCATATCAGCCTGTTTCTCCTTATCACCCGTGGTTCCTGAGCAACACAGCAGTGATTCTAGTGCCCTGTGCTACCAATTTGCAGAGATTTAAAGAGAAGGGAAGGCAGAAAACCTGTGTGTCCCAACCCTTTAGGCTTTCTAGTGGTTCTGCCACTGCATACAAGATTCCATGGGAGGCGAGTGGGTGCTGCGTGTTCCTCTGCTTCCCTGCTCAGAAGCTGTGAATACCCCGCGCAGACAGGCCAAGCTAGAAGTCTGATGGCGTAAGTACTGGCTGATGCAAAATGAAAGGGAGCATTGCAGAAAGTTTCCACTTGGCTGATAAAGCGTGATGCAGAGTAAAAGGTGGCATGACCGAGCTTGAGCCTCTCTGCAGGGAGACTTACGGACTGCCCCAGCGTACCCCCAGAGGGGCAGAGCTATTGATGAGCTTCCTAGATGCGTGTAGACCTGTAACTGAGCCGGCCGCCACAGCGGATGGAAAACCCAGCCTGGCAAGGGCTACAAAAGAGTCCTGCAGGGCTCAAGTTCACGTCCCTTGCATCCCCAGTAGAGAACTGGTGCTGAATGCTGCTGCTGAATGCTGCTGCTGAATGCCTGGGGCCCAGCCTGTTCCCTCCTTAGGAGCATCCCTTCTCCGTGATGTTGCCTTAACTCCTGTACACCCAGTTCCCTTGCCGCACCTTCCACTTGTCCCTCATCCTCCTCTGCTGTACCCATCTTGCCAGCCCTGCTCTGCTTGTAGCGCAGCAGTAAATGCGGTAGGCACCGGTGTTCCTGTGTTCGGGGCCCACAGTTAGAGCAGAACAGGTGGAAACACCCCTGGAGCAAGCCAGGCGTGATCTGGGAGAGCAGCGTTTTGCAGTGGAAGAGCCAGCCCTGGCCTTGACGCTTTCAGCCAGCGCTTGCTTCAGCGCTGTCACCAGTGCCTGGGGGAGCTGCTGCAAAGCCCTCTGCTTGAAGTCAGCAATTTCGGTGGAGACCTTGCTGCTGCTCCGTGCAGCTTCAGCAGCTCTGAGAAACTGTGGATGCAGCAGAGGGGGGCGTGCGGCCTCCTGGAGGAGAGGACGCCCGTGCTGCCGGCCACGCCGGAGCGGGCGGCGGCCACGCTCTCCTCTGCGCTGGAGCCCCTGGAAGCGGGCACAGGGAGGGCAGCACCTCGGCTCTTCCTCGCTGTGCACCGCTGACACGCGTGGGGGCCGGGCTGCTCCCGGCAGGGCCCCGGGCCGGGCGGCGCCCCGCGCCTCCCCTTTAAGGCGCCGCCTCCGACAGAAACGCGCGTCCCCCTTAAGGCCCGGGGCGGTTGCGTCGGGCGCTTCATGAATGGAGCCACGTGACCCAAACATCACGTGACGCGTCCGTGAGCGGCGGGGGGGGGGGGGGGGG